CCACCTGAAGGGGTTGATGGTGTTGGATTGAAGCCTCCACCTGAAGGGGTTGATGGTGTTGGATTGTGGCCTCCACCTGAAGGGGCTGATGGTGTTGGATTGTGGCCTCCACCTGAAGGGGCTGATGGTGTTGGATTGTGGCCTCCACCTGAAGGGGTTGATGGTGTTGGATTGTGGCTTCCACCTGAAGGTGTTGACGGGGTTGAGTGAGATGGTGTGCCACCAGAACTACCTCCTGAGCCATGTGAAGGTGTAGTTCCATGGGAAGGGGTGTGTGAACCTGCCAATTAGAATTTGAACCGTTAACAATCTAGATATTGAAAGAAAGAAATGAAGTAGATTTACAGAGGTTTCTTTAATTAGCTGAATCCTCTTAGTGATTTGATCAGATATGAACATTTTCTTCCCACTATCACTTGCATATATAGTATAAAAAAAATACTATATATAATAGAATGAATACACGTGAACACATAATTTACAAATTATCTAGCAACTTAGTAAGAAAAAAGGAGGTCGAGCATGCAAGATATATAGGGTGCAAGTAATGTAGTTTAGAGCGCTATTGCCTCTGTGTGATATATATATATATATGGAGAGAGAGGGGGAGGGGGGGGTGATGGAGACCAGAAGGGGGACTTCTTGAATGCGGGTCTGGTGGGGAGTAGTAGTTCTTCTGATCTTCAAGGAGGGGGGGGTGATGGAGACCAGAAGGGGGACTTCTTGAATGCGGGTCTGGTGGGGAGTAGTAGTTCTTCTGATCTTCAAAGGTTGTGGCCAAGACAGGGAAGGCCAAGTTGTGGGAAAGCAAGCCAGCGACCAAAACCCACATCAACATTGGAGCCTGATTGCTCTTCTGCTTCTCCATCTCTGTATGCTCGGAGAGGACTAGAAGGAAGATAAGAGATGACTGAAAGATGCATTTTCCATCGAAGGACAGGTGATTATATAGAGCTGACGGAGGGAAGTAAATATTAGCAGGTGAAAGAGTATGTGGTTAGTTGATGTGTTGCAGGAGCATTAATAAGTGTTATTAATGACTTGTATTGATGCGATGATGCAGATCCACCCCCTCCCTAGTCTTATTTCACCCACGACGTACTTATAGTTTTCACTTACTTAAGTTCACTCGTGATAATGGATTGTTGTGGGGATTGAACCTGTCAGCTTGATGTGTTGATTGCCATTGCCATCTAGGTTTTGCCAAGGTTACTGTAGCATTAATTACTCTAGCAGCGGGAACTGTCATTATCCAAACTCTAAGGATGTATAGTAGGAAGTACCAGTTTAATTTCTGCAAAGATTATTCCTGATTGCGTGTCCTTCCAAATCCAAAGAGAAGCTCGCAGGCTTTGCTCATGGTTCCCTGGAAGGGAGACGGAATCGGGAATAATTGAGAACGAGAGCAAACAAAATAATGGGGCATAATTCTAGGACCTTACCTCTACTTGCACCCATTTGACAAGATTATAGAACAAGCTCGTACAGTGATACCGTATGAGACCAAGTTGCCTTCAATTAACAGGCTGTGATTAATCTTCAGGGAGTAGTCTCAAAAGTTTCGGCATAGACATGATTTTTGAATCTATCAAAATTTGTGCAAAGACAATAAGATCGAGAAGCAAAACTTAAACAACTAATACTCAGACTGGTTAATCACGAAGCACAGTGGAATAAGCATCCACTGTGATACTGGGAAGTTCGAAACATCATAACGTCTCCTAATTTCTTTGTTTATCATTTCCTGTAGGACCTGCTGGTGCTGCAACATCCCCTAGTTATCAATGTAACATTTAGTTTCAACTTCAAGAAAAATGATCGAAACGCATGTCTCAACTTTCTCCATGCCAAGGGATTGAAACCTTCATCCTGTTTCATTATCCCTAGACTTTAAGCCGTTGAATTCAGGACTAGGCTGTTTTCTCTCTTCTTTCAAAGTCTCCGTTCAGCTGGTCCTGTTTTAAACTTGAGCTAGATATGAAATGTATTTCTTCTAATTAATTACTCTGTCAAAATAAGAGAGGGAGAGGGGCAGCTACCTTGTATTCTTTCTCTCATCAGACAAGCTAACAAATATTGAGCCCAAGAATTATGGTGGTTCGATAGACCATAAAGATTCGAGCCCTGCGCGCTTGCCCACAATCTCCATCCAGTATTTGGGTTTATTACCATTTCAGATCACGTTTGCAAATAAATTAATTTTCTTCGTCGTAGACCAGACCAGGCCATTGAAAACAAGAACAAGATCTTGTTGGGATATTTAGATCGTGTACTAATCTTTACGAAAATATAAAATGGTGTCTCTCGGCAGCACAGCCTGTTGCACCATAGTTGTCATCATTGCAACTTGAATATCAGCAGACAAACGCATGCTACAGGAATGTGATTAAAAAAAACCTTCAAAAACCATGACCATTGGCATCCTAAGGGAAAAGGGACCCATAATTCTGAAATTAGAAGTTGTCACCTTAATGATTGTGGCAGAGAAGTAGGTGAGGCACAACACCAGCTTTACGAGATGAGTAAATAATAGACTGCAAAACTGGCATCAATTCAGGGCTCTGTTGCCTGGGATGACGATGACAGCAAAACTGTCTATGACCAATAATTCTTTAACATACAAGAGACGGAGAGATCTGTTTTATATTTTTCACTACTATATGTTTTAAATTTTTAGATTTTAAAATTTAAAAGGATTGAGAGATTTTATTCCCAAGTATATTCCATCACTCCTACCTTGCAAACTTATATTAGCATCGACCGAAATAAATTGAAACTAGTTCTTCACCCCCCACACCCCACCCCCCCTCCCCTTTAAGGATGGCTGTGGGCTGTGGCCTATTTAAGTGAAAATTTATTTTTGAGTGTAGAAGACTGCTCGGCCATTTCTGTAGGACATTATAGAGTTCTGGTCTGTCAAGGATAGGAAAGCCCAAGTCCCTCATGAACGCCAGTTAATCAGAACGACTCATTAGCTTTGCCTGGTAGCTCTCTCTTGCATATCAATCATAAGTCACGGTCACCCACTATTTCCATGCGAGGTAAATTTTTTGGGGCCCATGATTTTACAGTGGCCCGCATGCTAATTCAACCGTTCGTTTGTTTTTGCGGTTGTGGCTTACAAGAAGTTAGTTTAATGAAATCATTTTTGGTTGTGGTGTATTATATTAAAATATGTTTTTATTGTTGTTGAAATTATTATTGATTAAAAAAAAATTATGTGTTTGATTAACTTTCTTTATAAGTGCTTTTGTTAATACAATTATAAAAAGTAACATGTTGAATTTGGAGGAGAGATGGTTTACAGTGTTCATTAATTAGGTGGTACACGCTGCTAAATCCCAAGTATATTTATGTTTCACTGCAGCTAGTATCTAATGTTATTTTGAATTTTACCTAACTCAAGTCTAGTCTTGAGTTAATCTTGGAATAGGCTGTAGAAGACTCAAGATTATTTAAATTGTGCATATGGTAAGTTTCAAGTTTATTTTTTAATCCTGTAATTAATAATTTGTATGTAATTTATAAATATAAAATTAAGTATAATATGATAAAATTATTTTTGCAATACATTTAGTAAAATTAGTAAATTATATAATATTTTCTTTCAAATTTATCAATTATTTTATTAATAATATTAATTACAATAAAGTATACTCTTATGAAAAATCATATATGGTGACAACAATAAAAAGAATCAACTACAACAGAAGTTAATCGAAGTTACAAAAAAGAGGTCAAAATAATCAACTACTATCATTAAAAGTTTTCAATCCTCAAAATGTTCATGTCTTTCTGAGTATGCAGATATTTATTTATATACACCGTTTCACCTTTCATTCACTTATGATTCATGTTTAGAATTTAAATATCAACAATTCTAGAAAAAAGAAGAAGAAGAAGTTTTATATGATGCGGGACAACTGAAAATGTAACATGTGCTATTTGTTCTACAGTGAACCAATTTTTTTTTTTAATTTAATTGAATTGGGTAATTTACTTTCAGGTACATGTACTTGGAGTGTTCATTGTTTTGAAGTGGATATGGGCAATAAATAAATGAGAGTCAAGAAGATGTCGAGCCAGATTTCAATGTGTTGTATATTCCATTTATTCAGATTTCTTTGCGAGTATATTTTTTTAGTATCCTGAAAAATAAAAAATAAAAAATTATATGCTAGAAGACGCGTGAATATCTATAATATTTATAAAAAAAATTAACTAATTTGATATATCTAACTTGTTTAAATAAAAATAAAAATTAAATAATCAGATTTATAATTTATAAAATCTTAAAATTCAGGTTATTTATAATTATGATCCACTATATACATGACATTTTATGATTCCATTAAACAAACTATTCCAATAATTAATTGTTATGTTGTGATTTGTAAAACTCTAATTGCTAAAATTTAATTATTTAAAATAATTAATTAAAATCTGATCAAGTCAAAATTAAATAAATAAAGCATTGAATGATATTTGAAAGCTATTACAACTTTCAATTTATCTTCTTACATACCTTACTACCCAAGTACCTTACTACCCAAGTGAAGTCCCAAACATCCTCTTACAAATCATTTGGTAAAATGGCAAATGTTATTTGCTGTGTGTAAGACCACCATAGCTAACATTTCAAATGCTAGTTCGCTGAAAGCAACATTCATCTGCTTTTTCCGTAGCGTTTATGCAGAGTGAATAATTCACTATGCTAGTTCTCTTTGAGAAAAGTGTTGCAGCAGCTACTTTAGTTGCCTTGAAAGACCAAGCAAATCTGCCAATGAAGTTAGATGAATTTGGCAAAGATATCAACTTATAGAAACAAATGAATATGGAGAAAAGGGTTAAGGCTTGTCAACAAAGGAAAACTTGTATTGATTCAAAGAGATTGTCATGCATGGAGGTGGATAGTTCTGATCAAAAAATTAAGGGAGAATTGAGCAGAAATGAGAGAAAGAGTAACAGTGAAAAAATGATACTTACCAGTCAACCCGTGATTTATTGCTCCAGATTGGTGAGGAGATCTTTAATGATGTTTCTTTTAAAGAATATTCCCAACTTTCAATGGTGAAAGAAAGACCTAAAACATGGAAGAAAGAATATTAAAGTGAATAGTGCCCATTGAATTAATTCACTTAGCACCGTTGAACAATGTCTACACTATGCATTGTATCATTGGATCCGGTGAAATTTTTTTATTTGTGTTTTACTTAAAAAAATATTTTTTAATATTTTTTAATAACATTATATAAATTAGAAGTAAATCTCATGATCCACTGTATACATGATTATCCCTAGTTTTGAATGTCTTTTCACATTTTATGATTCCTGATTAAACAAACTATTTCAATAATTAATTGTTATGTTGTGATTTGTTCAGGTTATTTATAATTATGATCCACTATATACATGACATTTTATGATTCCATTAAACAAACTATTCCAATAATTAATTGTTATGTTGTGATTTGTAAAACTCTAATTGCTAAAATTTAATTATTTAAAATAATTAATTAAAATCTGATCAAGTCAAAATTAAATAAATAAAGCATTGAATGATATTTGAAAGCTATTACAACTTTCAATTTATCTTCTTACATACCTTACTACCCAAGTACCTTACTACCCAAGTGAAGTCCCAAACATCCTCTTACAAATCATTTGGTAAAATGGCAAACGTTATTTACTATGTGTAAGACCCACCACAGTTAACATTTCAAATGCTAGTTCGCTGAAAGCAACATTCATCTGCTTTTTCCGTAGTGTTTATGCAGAGTGAATAATTCACTATGCTAGTTCTCTTTGAAAAAAGTGTTGCAGCAGCTACTTTAGTTGTCTTGAAAGACCAAGCAAATTTGCCAATGAAGTTAGATGAATTTGGCAAAGATATCAACTTATAGAAACAGATGAATATGAAGAAAAGGGCTAAGGCTTGTCAACAAAGGAAAACTTGTATTGATTCAAAGAGATTGTCATGCATGGAGGTGGATAGTTCTAATCAAAAAATTAAGGGAGAATTGAGCACAAATGAGAGAAAGAGTACCAGTGAAAAAATGATGCTTACCAGTCAACCCGTGATTTATTGCTCTAGATTGGTGAGGAGATCTTTAATGATGTTTCTTTTAAAGAATATTCCCAACTTTCAATGGTGAAAGAAAGACCTAAACCATGGAAGAAAGAATATTAAAGTGAACAGTTCCCATCGAATTAATTCACTTAGCACCGTTGAACAATGTCTACACTATGCATTGTATAGTTGGATCTGGTGAAATTTTTTTTTATTGTGTTTTACTTAAAAAAATAGTTTTCAATAACATTATATAAATTAGAAGTAAATCACATTATACCATAACATTTATAGAATTTAATCGCAATTTTAATTTTATTTCTAATGATATTTTACCTGATTTTGTTGCACACTTAAAAAATCATGAAAATTATACATAGTTTTTATTGAATGAATTTCATACATAATGAAATTATAGATAAGTTAATGGAATAAAAAAATATATATAATATAAAGTATTATTTATTTAATGATGTAATAGTTATATTTAAATCTGTAATATTTAAATTAAAAATCAAATAAATACTTTTTTAAGTATTTTATAACCTCAATTTGAAAAGTATTTTTTAATTATACATATTAAACTATTTTTTATTTAACCTTATTATACATATTAAACTACTTTTTATTTAACTTTAATTTTAACTACAATTTTAACCAAATATATATTTTTCTGAACTAACCTCAACTAAAAATAATTTTTATAAAATAATTTTTTAATATCATAATCATAATAACTACCGCGTTACAAAACAAACTAAGAAAAGCAAAGGCAGGCATGCAAGACAAACTAAGAAAAGCAAAGGCAGGCATGATGCCTTGGTGGAATGATATCCAGCAACTGGGGCCTGCAGTGCTTGAGATTTTGGTGCCAAAAATGGCGCCTCCGTTCAGTTCCACCTAGATGAAAATTGGAATATAAGTGATGAAATCAGTCATTACCATTCGACCAAAGCCTTGACATTTACCATAGTTTTGGAGTGCTTGCCAGGGATCAATTTTTAGCCTGGAACACTGAATGCTTTTGTGAGAGATTTGGACGGAGTTTTCGCACCACCTGTTTGATTGAAGTTTTCAAGATCTAAGAAAGCAAGGAAAGAGAAAAGAAATGTTGACTAAAGCGGCATGGGAGAAGAGGAAGGAGGTGGAAAGTGGGCTCGGGGGTGATGAAGGAATATTACTTTCCCAGCTGGTGAGTGGGATGATTCGTGGGGAGATCAGTGAAGAGAAGGTTATTGATAATGTGGTTTTGCTAGTGTTTACAGCTCATGATACAACATCCTTTGCCATTGCCATGACTTTCAAAATGCTAGCTGAGCATCCAGACTGCCATTCTCTCCTCCTTCAAGGTACTCCTTGCTTTCAGTACTTTAGGATACAAAGAAAATTTCCAAAATCGGAGGGGCATCCCAAAGACAAATTACATGAAAATAAATACAATTCAGACTTGAAAGTGAATTGAATGACCTCACTTAAGAAGCGCTTTCTTCCCATGATTCTACTAAATTCGGTGTATATTATTACTCTTGGCAGAACATTGCTGACATAATGAGCAAGAGGAAACCTGTAGGGTATCTAACATTGGAAGACATGAAGATGACACGTACATGGCAAGTTGCCCGTGAAAGCTTGCGGCTTTTCCCTCCTATCTTTGCCTCCTTTAGAGAAGCCATCGTTGACATTGAATGTGAAGGATTCACTATTCCTCAAGGGTGGAAGGTGCGCATTAGCTCTGAATCCTTCTTTCCTTGATGCTGGTGCACAAAACAAAGCTCAACCATTGAAAAGATTACCCATGGCCCAATCTTCATGCTTTCTCAAAAAAAGAAAAAAACCTTATATAACACAGTTCAAGGGTGGCTTGATTACAAGCATTCTAGATATTGGAGAAAACATGCGGCAACAGAAAAATGCATGTTTACCGGAAATTAGCCTTCAAATATCTTAACAAATAATCCATCATAGATCTAATTTCATCCCGTCTTCTGCAAGTTCTGTGGACAACATACCGCACCCACTACTATGAAGAGTATTTCAAGGATCCTCTAACTTTCAATCCAAGCAGATTTGAGAAAGCCAATTCCACCGTATGCTTTACCTTCCCCTTGGAGGAGGACCAAGACTTGGCGCAGGAAACCAACTGGCAAAGTTGAATATCCTCATCTTCATCCACTATGTTGTAACTCTTTACAATTGGTCCTTACCCTGCCCTGATGAGCAAATCACCATGGATCCTCTCCCATTCCCTTCCCATGGAATGCCCATCAAAGTTTCTAAGTAGTCATTTTAGAGTAGAACCAACAGTAGATTTAGATACTCTGCACGCAAATGTTCAATTCTTCAAAGAATCATGTCCTACAAACTTGGTTTTACTTTTTACAGCATTATGAGGGGGCTAATCTTGCGCTGGATCTCACATCTACAATCATATATATAATCTCTTAGGATGTCTGAGAATGTACTAATGTATTCATAGCAGGCCCGGACAAAAACCTTTTCTTTCAACTTGATATATGTTTGCACGGACATAAGCAAGCATTTCAAGCACAAAAGATTCTAAAGGCTACCAGCACAGCCTACTTCAAGATGAAACTAAGCTAAACTCTTTCAATTTGTAGCCCGACTCCAGAAATGTCAGTCCCATCTTCCCTAGATTTAATACTAATAATACAATATTGGTTAATACCTCAATATCCCTAAAGGTGTCTAAAATCACCAGACGCATCCTTCCTAGATTTACCTGGTCATGTGATTTTTCATCACAGAGTAACTTAGTACTAGAATACAGAAAGTAGTTGTGCAGAAAATCTTAGATTAAAAAGACAATAGAATAACAAAAAAAGAACCAAAACAAGCAGAAAGAAAAAAGCATCATTGTATGCTCCAGTTTTCAAAGGGTTTTTTATACCTTACACCACTCCAAATATCATGGAATGTTTGGAAATAATTTATTCCTCGCATAATTCCCAATCTTATTACATCTAAAAGATACATCCTGGCTTAGTAGAATATAGATTAATATTTTTCTTTTCAAATACTCATAGAAAATGTAGTCTGTAAGATTAGATGCTAGAACATGTATCAGAAAGAAAAAAGCATCATTGTATGGTTCAGTTTTCAAAGGCTTTTATCCCTAACACCACTCCAAATATCATGGAATGTTTGGAAATAATTTATTCCTCACACAAGTCCCGATCTCATTACGTCTAAAAGCTAAATCCTGGCTTGGCAGAAGAATATAGATTAATGTTTTTCTTTTCAAATATCTCATAGAAAATGGAGTCTGAAAGGTTAGATGCTAGAACATGATGATTCTCTCCCAGAATACAACCCCCCCCCCCAAACAAAAAAAAAAAAAAACAAAGGACACGGAAAGTTGGATAAAAATATAATTCAATCTTCAATTAAATAAATATTAAATGATAAAACAAAAAAAAAAAAAAAAAAAAAAAAAAACATGAAAACAACTCTCACACATCTTATGTAGGGTATCTGTCTACATACCTATCCACACACTCATGTATGTATACAATTATATGTCATCAAGTTAACCATGAAAATTTAGAAGAGTAAAAGAAAATGGGTGTCAACATGTCCTCTAACTTGAAGTAACAGTTCACAATGCAAGGAAAAAAATAATGATGTCAGCATAAATAACAACCTATTGTATATATTTGATGATGATAATCATCCCTAGATGAGTGACTCTACTATAGGAAAAAAACAATGCCCTGTAAATTGCTTGACTGTGGTTTATGATCATTCCAAGATAAAATCTGTCAATCTAATAGGGTAATCATCCCCAGATGAGCGACTCTCCTATAGGAGAAAAACAATGCCCTGTAAATTGCTTGACTATGGTTTATGATCATTCCTAGATGAAATCTGTCAATCTAATAGAGCCTTCATCAATTAAAAAGATTTGGCTTTCAATCACCAGTCTTTCTTTTGGAAATTTCTCACTCAAATTGTGATTGACACAAAAAGTTATAATGGACATCAATTAAATAAAAAATAAATGATGACAAGAAATAACCTGAGCATCATTGGTAGTTACAAGATTTTGCACCAAAGTTTTCCTACAAAGATGGTGGATCTTTTACACATTCCATGGCATCTGGTAGTAGATTATGACTGATTGGCTTCATTCCTCTTTTAAGCCAATAGTCCAAAAGAGACATTTCTAGTTTCCGCACCTGTGAACATTTGTTTCATCCAATCAATCAAGTATTCTGTGGAAGCTAGAACAAACTACAACGTTTTCCTCTAATTCTCTGAGATTTCAACAATGCAGAACCAAAAGTATTACTGATGAGAAGTAACAAGCAGGCAATGCCCGCTTCAGTTCCAAAAAGATTATGTCAATCTTTTCTTTTGTTCCTTTTATTTGAAGAATTAAGAGTCAAAATATACAAATAAAAAAGGTAGATACAAGTAAAAAGGGCCACATGCTACAAGGCAGCAGCAGTAATCCTCAGCTAAAAAATGGAAGAAGAAACACAATATACAGAAGACCAGTCAAGCAGATCTTGTTTAATCTTTCAAGTAGTTCTATGAGTACATGTAAATGTACAATTTCTCAGTATGGTAAAGCAACTTAAATAGCTATCTTTATAAGGTACAGCTATCATGTCACATCCACGAGTCCATTTTAACTTCCATGGCATCTTAAGGAAAATTCTTATAACACATTATATCAATGAGTTAGGCTACTATAAATGTTCTACATTCTTTTGCTCCTAAATGACATAAAAATCATAAACAAAGATACAAAAGCAAAAAACACAGCAAGCATCACAAAAGCAAGACCAGGGAGTGAGAACCACATGAGGATTAGTGAAAACCTAGGTACAATTTTCAAGGAGGGATAGAGCAGAGGTAATGATGAATATTTCAAAGGGAAAGACAAGCCATCAGCAATGCAGGAAAAAAAAAAAAAAAAAAAAACTTCTCACTGGACAGAAGACAAATAATGGACAGCCTCAACTGCATACAACTAAAAACTTATTGAAAGAATGTGACATCCTCCGATAAATAAAAACAACAAGCTGTTAATGGCATCACATTCACCACACTCACACAGCCTTATTTCACATTGAAACCTTTTGCAGGATATTTTCATCCATAAAATAGAAAATAGCATATATCTATTCAAATACAACTCCCCATGTTTTTCTTATTTTTCAAGGATGCCAAAAAATCAAATTCAGTGTCTCAAATAGAAGATGAACTAACCTGCCTAACAATGAATGGTTCCTCCGCAAGACTCAGTGGCTTCGTTAATACCGTCAAAAAGCCATTTTGGTTTCCATAAACAATGTCTGTGAAGGGCCGATCACCCACCTGTAATTTGCATCACAAAAGTATACTATTCACATACAATGAACAAAAAGAAACCAGAGCAACAACTCAAAGCAGCTCATGTGGTTTGCATATACCATTACAAGTTGTGAGGATTTGCATCCAAAGTGCTTTTCAATTTCTTCAGCTGTTCCAGCAGGTTTCTTTACCCCTGTAGTGTAATATGCGAATGATTAATATTTTCAAGTGGTGCAATGGACAGCATGTTAACTAAGCAAATCATTCACAATCGTCAAAAAAAAAAAAGTGTCAGCTTCCCAATTGCATAACCATAAAAAATAAAAAATAATAAGTTTTCCATTAAAATTAAAGCTCAAATTGGCAGAGAAGAAACTTACTGTGCCTTATTACTTTAATTCCAATTGCCTTCTCAAGTGCACTGGCTTTTGAACCGTCATGATCGTACTCGAAGAGACCTGACTCATTACAGCAACAGCACACGAACACAGCTTAGTAGCCTACCATCAAAAAATAAAATCGCAAGCAACAAAAAAGATCAAAAAACAAAAGGGTCATGGCAAAGCTACCAGCAGAGTTACTAAACACAGCGATATCATTCCCAAAAACAGATTTACACCTCTCAATGGAGGCATCAAGAGGGCCCCAGATTGTCAGAGAGTAAGGCACGGTGATAGTATTATCCTTATCAAACACCACACCTTTAAAGCCTCTCCTTTGCAAATCTCCCCAATCAATGTACCTTATATCAGGCACTAAAACATGAGGCAGAGCCAAATGCTGGTCCTTAACAAGCACGGAAGCCGACGAACCAATTCCTTCAACGTTGATTCTTTGGCTTAAAGTAGCTCTCAAGTCTTTCCACCACATGTTTGATAAAAGTCTTCTAGGGTTCCCTGTTTGAGTGTCTCTTATCTCTCCAATTTCTTGGTTTTTGGTTTTTGGTTTCTGGGATTTGTTTAGTGCTTGTATTAGTCTAAAGAATAGTGAAATAGGTCAACAAATGACAGGTTCAGATCAGGTTCAGGGTAGCTTTTATTATCGTTAGTTTGGGAATCTTTTTGCCTTTGTCGTTGCTTTTACAATTGCTTGTAGGGTGGAGAATGAGGCAACAGATATTTTTGGAGTGGGTTTGGTGATGCGAACAGGAAAAGCAGGTGGGCTCTACGATTCTGAGATGGGAACGATGGGCATGGAAGTTAAGAGGTACTGGAACAGAACAGTTGGGCAAGGGAGGAGTACAAGTACATATTCATTTTTCCAAGGGAAGGGAGTAAAGAGCCGCATTTTTAATTTCGCAGGCCAGCCTGTGGCTGTGGCCCGTTCAGAACTACGTGCCATTATACTTTGAGCTTTGAGCCTCATATTATTGCTAATTTTCCTAATTAAAGAAAAATCACAGGCCTAGAATCTTTGGTATCTGGCTTTCCACATGTTAGGGGCTAGTATGCGTAAAAGTTCATATATATATATATATAATAGATTTGAAAATTCTTAATAAGTATTTTAAAAAAACATAATGATATTTTAGACATAAATACTGAAAATATATATGCTATAATTATTGAGAATAAAAAAATTACAAACCTAGTGTTTGAAGGATTCATTGTATACTTGTAACCTATAAGTTGTCTTTTGTAAAAAGAAGAGATTAAAGTGTAATTTTAATTTTATAATATTTTGAGTTGTATTTTATTCAAAATAATATGTATTGAATTATTATAAAATATCGAGAGCTCAAAAAATTTTCAAGGAAAAGTTAGGCTCAAACAAGTTACTAAAATCCATTAGAGTTGAAAAACGAATCCAGATGCATTACTTGGATCCAAGCATGTTACGTTTGAGTGTGGAAGCCTCAACCCATAAGGGTGCTAAGATGCATGCTTAGTATGAGTTTGGGTTATCATACCCGACCCATACACCTTGGGTTTAGTTAGGCTAGGGCATGGTAGCTTGAGCACATGAAGTTTTTTTCCTTTTTTTAGGGGGAGTTTAGGCATGTAAATTTGGGTTTATTAGTAATCTCACAATTCTTTATAATATTTATATGCAAATACTTGGAAACATTCCTGGTATGATAATTTTTATCTAGTTTTCTTTATATGAAAAGAGGGGTGAAAACCTCGAGTAATATAACAGGGAGCCTGTATGTAATAACATGCATCATGATTTTAAAAGGAATTTCTAAGTAAAGGAAAAACATAGAGGAACCTATACATAGAAAATTTCTAAGTGACTAGGAGGAAATTATGAAAAGTGGAGCCTCAACTTAGAAAGTTTTTTAAGAGGCTTAGGGGAACTTATAAAGGGTAAAGCTTGTACTTAGAAAGTTTATAAATGGCTAGGGGGATGAAATTATATTGACACCTATATTTAGAAAAATTTCTCAAGGGCAGAGATGATGGATCGATGTAAATGCCTATAGTTAGAAATTTTTCTAAGAGACCGGAGGGGAAAGACTCATGAAAGGTGGTGCTATTGCACTAAAAAAACCATGTTCATCCCTTAAAGAGTGGTCATATTGAAGTGTGGGATGTATGTGACCTCACTAGAATAGCATTGGGCATAAGAGCCCCTCATTGAAGAGTGGTTGTTTTCTAAAAGTAGGTGGCTTGTGGCCTTCATCGTGATGAAATGAAGCATGAGAGCCCCTACTAGAGATACATTATACCTAAGAGTAGGAGATCTAATATCATCCTTGATGATAATATAAATCTTGGGAACCCCTCTAGAGAGTCATGCTAGTCCGAGACTATAGTAAAGAGGTGGGAGATTCAAGATCAATCTTTGGTGAATTGGTGAAAGGCTTTTTAGCATTACTTAGAGAATATATTAGTCCGAGACTTTATTGAAAAGGTAAGAGATCCAAGATAAATCTATACCGAATTAGTGAGAAGCCTTTTGGCATTATTTAAAGTGTTAATCTAAAATCTGTTAGAGAATGAGAGATTTAAGATCAACCTTTGAAGGTAAGAGACCTTTAGGCATCACCTAGAGAATATACTAGTTCAAGATTAGACTGAAAAATAGGATTCCGAGATCAACCATTAGCAAGTTGGTGAGAGGCCTTTAAGCATCACTTAAATAATATGCAAGTTCATGACTGTACTTGATAATCGAGGATTTGAAATCAACCCCTGACAAATTGGTGAGAGGCTCTTAGGTATCACCTAGAGAACATATCGGTCTAATACTGTATTGGAGAGCCAAGAGATCTAAGATCAATCCCTAACAAATTAGTGAAAGGTTTTCTCACATCATTTGGAGAATATATTAGTCTAAGACTACACTAGATAATAGGAGATCCAAGATCAATCTCTAGTGAATTGGTGAGAGATCTTTAGGCTTTACTTGAAGAATATATCAGTTTGAGATTCTACTAGAGAATAAAGGATTTAAGATCAACCTCTTAACAAGTTGGTGAAAGGTTTTTAGGCATCACATAACGAATATGTCAGCCTGAGACTATATTGGAGAGTTAGAGATCCGAAATCAACCCTTAGTAAATTAGTGAGAGACCCATAGACATCATATGAAAAATGTACCAATCCGAGATTATACTGGAGAATATAGGATCCAAAATCAACCACTGGTGGATTTGAGAGAGGTTTTTAGGCATCACCTGCAGAATGATTTTATTGCAATAGAGAAATCTGGTACCCATCTCTTGAATATTATAGGGCTATTTTTTTAAGGAGACCAAGTTAATTGTCTTCAAGAAGAATGATATTATTATACTAGGAAAACCAAATCAATCACTTCCTTAGAAAAATGTCTGAAAGCCCCCACTAGAGATTTGTTGATAGAAAATATATGTTAAAGATATATTATTTTTATTTTAAAAATAAAATTATATTCCTATTAGGGTTATTCATCTTCAGATGATATGAGTGATAGGTATAAGGGAGATTCTTATGTAGGACATGTCTTGGAAATGAAGTTAATATATTTGCTTTAACTGTCCTAGTAACTTTGAATAAGTGATCATATTTTGATTCAATAGAGTTATAAATCTTTAGGATACACTAAATACTCATGGGTTGGTCCTTCATGGTTTTTCCTTAAGCTTTCATTTATACTAGGATAATGATTTCACTTGAAATGTCCTTCACATTGGTTGTTTTATAAGAAAAAAAAGGTTTGTGTCATAACAACCTAACATCTTCCATCCGTGTATGGTTTTCTATAACATGTTTTACCTTGAGCAAGCTTATGTCTAGTAAGGCATAAAGTTTTCTCCAGATAACATGTTCACGTACCCTTATTATCAAGGCTTTTAAGGCTATTAACTTAAATAATTAGTATATCTTGAGCATCTCCTCATTAAACCTCTTCCAATATACTTGTGCAGACACTTTTTTTTTGTAATAACACCAAATAACTTCATGAAGCTTTTCTTAGTGGGTATGTTGGTGTTGAAGTGTGTCGTTAGCTTGGTGCAGAAGTTACCGAACCTTTCAATGAAGCTTGACTCTAAATTATTATACCATGCACACTTAGACCCCTAAAAGATTGTGTGAAGGATTTTGCACATTGAGTCACTATCATAAATTACTAATTTTAAGCTATCGCGAATATTCTATACATGCTCTCTGAGGTAGGCTAAACCATCATAGTTATCCATATTTATTTTTATAGAAATATAATTTTTAGAGAGTTGAGTATTTAATACTTGTTTGGATAAATGAGAACCCCTCTACTGATTTGGGCTGTAAACATTCTTTTGGGTATGCTCATGTACAAATCTTCTCTTAGTCCTCTATCTGTTAGGTTGTTGAGAGCCTGAGGAGTTTGGTATGGAATGATGATTATGATAACCAATGTTCATCTCACAATTGTTAGGGGATACATTTAAACTATGGCTTTATACATGGGTATCACAATGACATAAGTGACCTCTTGAGAGACTCTCATAAATGTCATTTTTTCTAGTCTCCTCTAGGTAATGTAATTATCTACAGGCGTTAGGTATGACTGGTAGCCATGAAGTTAGGGCATTGTGTGTTAATAAGGGTGTCAAGATTTATTAAGGTGGCAAGATTTGATTTTGTTATTGAGTTGCAAATATAGCCTAAGTGAAGAGTTACACCTGATTGATGAGTTGCTGAAGGTCTTGTTAGGTAGAAGTGTCTATAGTAATAGGTATATTTGTCTCATGTTCTAACCTAAGTGTGTCTTGGTTGTATGCTATGAAATAACCTGAAAATGTCAAAACAAGTTTTAATAAGAAACTGATGGTTTTTTTTTTATTAATTCCTACAGACAACGCCAAATGATGAGGTATAAAAACATATTCAAATAGCTTAGGAATAAGGCTTATGTGTTGGATGATTAAGTCATTTCTTAATTCAAGAAATCTGATCGATTCTTCCTAGTTAAGGTGTCTGGTTACTTGATATGGAAGGCCTGGGTGGTTGGTAGCTGGTGGTGCATGGTAAATCAATGTAGTTGGTATCTGCAAAAGGTTTTTTTTATTTTTTGTAACTTCAGGGACTCTCAAATGTTTAAGTAAGGATCTTTTTAGAGAGAGAAAATTCAATAATATTTTAGAGAGATAGACTTTGAAAATATGTATATTATAAATATTGCGAATGAAGAGATTATGAATATAACATTTAAAGGATTTATAGTGTATTTATAGCTTATGAGTCTTGTTTTTTATGAAGAGAAAGAGCTAAAGTGTAATTTTAAATTTGTGATATTTTGAATTGTATTCTACTTAAAATAATATGTATTGGATCAATATAAAATATTAAAAAACTTATATAGAGTCCTGGTAAAATTTCTAAGGGAGTATTAGGCTCGAACAAGTTACCTAAGTTTATTAGAGATGAAAAATAGATTGAGACGTACTGTTTGAACCATTAGGCTTGAATGTGAGAGCATGAATCCATATATATGCTAAGATGCATGCCCACTACTAAAGGTGCTAGGCAGCACATCTAATTTGTGGGGCAGG